TGAAATTTTTAGCCAAAACCTTATCAAATTGCTCAAGATATAGCTCAAGAGACAACCACTAGCAAATCGGATTACTTACTACCCTTAGATTGCATGCACTAACTTCAAAATCTAATAACTCCTTCACTTCAACTTGGAATCCAGTAAGTAATATGTAAAAAGTGTAGCTGCAAAAGTATTGTCTCCAATCGCAATCGTCGATCCTCAATTGCTGTCTGTATGCATACGTTATGTCCAAAAGAGTGACAGTAGCTCCCAAATCAATACCTTAACTTTGAGCGCTTGTATCTCCTTCATATAAACTTCAAACCATACAAAACTTGTACCAAAACCATAGCCAAAAACCTAAACTTTCTGAATCTAGCCTTCAAACCTCAAATGGCCTCGAGAAACTAATCCTAATCCCTAATATGGCCTCGGGCAGCCTCCTCAAAGCCCATTGGTCATGATTTTTGACCAATAGGAATGGAGATTTTCATTATTCATCTCCATTCATCTATAGTGGTGCCCTAATTACTCCCTTTGCTACCAAAATCCTTCTTCAATCCTTTTTCTTACAAGATTTACATAATTTATGCTCTAAATACCAAATAAAAGAACCAAAAGAAGTTTTCAAAGGTCACCAATGTCTAACAAAGGTGATTATAAATATTCAAAAGTTACTATCAACCAAAAAAAAACTTAAAAGCTACTATCAAAAAGAAATTAAAATTATACAAATTCTATAGTAATCTTTTTAAACAACCTCTTCTCAAGGTAATAATCAAATTATATTCTACAACCAACTAAAATCTACTAATATGGCTCTCACCATGTTACTTAATAAATTATATATTAAGTACATAATTACATTATTTTCATATATTAGCCGAACCACAACACGACAACGTGTTGCTACACTATTTAGAAATGAAGCCCTTTGATGTTTGCCTTATATGCATTCTTCACATGCAAGTTATTTTACATTTTGGCTTGTATTGCCAAGATCTAAGCTACTTACCATAGACTTGAGATCTCTCATACTCTTTATATTCAAATGGCCAAGATGATGATGCCATATATTCAACTTGTTATATTTTGATGTAAACTTAGGAAATGCGGCTATCCACTCCACTCTCCTTTTTACAAATGAGGTAATACAAATTTTCCTCTCTAAAGCCTTTGAAGATCCTTGTCTGCACTCAATGTTCTTACAAAACATCCATTCATGTCGAATTAAACTTTAAAACCTTCCATTACAAGTTTACTCACCAAAAGTAGATTTTGCTTCATCTTAGGCATATGAAGGATGTTTTTGAATCTAATCCTATTGGTTTGTCCATTTACAACCACCTCTACCATAATAGAGTCAATTCCAATAGCTTCACATAGGTCACTATCTACCAATACCATATTTGATGATAGAATAGCCTTATAAGTATCAAATGAATACTTATAAGATGTCATATGCTCGGAACAACCTAAATCCATAATCCATCTTCACATGGCAGCTATAAAGATCCCATTTCTTGCTAAAAATGCATAATCTTATCTTCCAAGCTCATCTTGTATATTATTTGCATTCTCTTTCTCTATTTTTTTGCCTTTCTTATAATTTCGAGAAAAATTGCCTAATTTGCCACAAATGAAGCAAGATTTGACATTACCTCATTGATTTGAATAGTTGCCTTTGCCTTGATGTGAGTAGAATATTGAATCTTCACTTTAGAGCTCATTTTCTTTCTTTTTGATTACTTCATGGACAAGTCTTGCCATCATATCGTTCATTGTAAGTTCTTTTAGCTTAATGGACCCCAATCCCACAATGAGGTAGTTGTAGGATTTGAAAAGGCTCATTAACAAGGTTATGATAATATCACTTTCTTCTAAAGGCTTGTCAATAATTGCTAGTTGGTTTGCAAGAGCCTTTATCTTATTGATATGAGCCATGAGGACTTCACCTTCTTCCATCTTATAAAAGAAGAACTTCCTCTTTGTATAGATGAAGTTGGATAAGTTCTTGCTCTCATAGATATTGCAAAGAGTCTTCCATGATTCCATTAGTCCTTTACAAGAGATAATATGGAAGAAATTGGCTTCATCCACAATGGTTGCAATTAATCAAAAAACCTTCTTTTCACAACGTTTGAACTGCTTCTTCTCCATATCAACATCTATGCTTGGAGCCTCTTCACTTTCATATATAATATCCAAAGATCCAAAGATGCCAACAAAAGGTTAATTTTTACCTTCCAATGGTAGAAATTTTTACCTCTGAATTTCTCAATTACTCTCAATCCTTCACTCTCACTTAAAGCCATGTCTAAAAGAGAGATGTATCAAAAAAGATTGAAAGAAGAAGTCCTAATGCTCTCAAAATCAGCAAGAAAGTATTACTGCCTTCGAATCAAATTATCCTTCTTTGTGAACAAACTAGTGTTCTTACTCTCAAAAACACTCTCAACTTCACTTCTAAGACTTTTCACAAGTCTAATGGCCTATCTAAACGACTCAAATCTGATTTATCACTCAAATATCACTCTTACACTCACAAATCACTTCTATATACTATAAGAGGCTTTTTAAGGACAATCAGCATTTTTAGGACATGAAACTACAAAGTTAGACCACCAAGGATCTATCTCAATAAAAACACAATACAAGTATTCTATAAATTTGACTTAAGGTGAAAAACCAAACACCAATACAAAAATTCTTTTGACCACAAGTAAGAGCAAATCAAGATTTAGATCTAGATTTAAATATGAAAGTTAGGTACTTCTAATCCCTAACATCAGCAATAACAACTTGATCTATTCCACACATCAACAACCACTTCAAAGAACTTCAAAACCCTCAAGCAAATGTGTGTGGGCTCATAACATATTGAAGAAAAGAAGTCTGAAAGCTATAAACACTTAACATCAGCAAGGTTTATACATAAAAAAAAGTGTAGAATAAGATATCTTTTACTTCTAATACCTTTTACTTATAGGTGGAGTTTATATCCAAAGTACATGGACTTCATTCAAAGACATCTTCATACTTCCAACTAAACCTAGATTCATCTTAACCTAGATGCCACCTTAAAACCCTAGTTGTGACTATAGTAATTTCTTTTAATTCATTGCTACCTTTTGACTATTAGCAACTTACTATAATTAATCTTCATGTGGTAGTAATTAAGTAAGAGCTTGCTAATCTTCAACAAGGATTAGGATTTAATTAGTGTTAGGATTTGGTTAGGATTTAGGATTTGGTCTAAGATTTGATTAAAGTTCTTGAATTTTTATTTTTAATATTTAAAGATATTTTTGTTATATTTTTAGGATTATTTTTTTATATATGCATTTCTTTAAGATTAATTTATAAATTCTTCGTGTTTCTTTTCTAATCTCTTTAAAATTTCTTTTAGATTTGATTAAAGCTTGATTAATATTATTAAGGTTTAATTAAAGTTTATTTAAAATTCTATCAGAGTTGTTAGGAGCTTGTTGTTGCAATATCTTTTTACCTTTCACAGCCAGGTACCCAGTACATTTTTTAGCAAGACTTAACGTAATATGACAGCGTATCAAGCATAGACGAATTTATTCCATGCTGAGAGTTTTATTCATGTGCAATAGACAAACCAAAGACAAGTATATAAATTCAACTACTATCCAATCAACTTAATTTTGATTAATATACTAGAAATATGTTTTGATTAATATAGTAGAAATTAATATACTATAAGTTCAATTGCTATCCAATCAACCCTAACCCTAATATTTGCAATTCATCCATTTCACATCATAATTGAATCAGTCAATATTAAAATAATCGTTGCTAAATAAAATTTGGTTTGAAGTACAAATTTTAAACTTCATACATTTGTAAAGATTTATTTTATAGTTGAAAATTACCTTACAAACATTGATGTAAGTTTAGAATTAACACATTCTAACATCATACACATCTATACAGTTTTACAAATAACAATTCTAAGTTATAAGTCATGAAACAAAATTACAGTTTGCCCTCAAAACCCTTCTGATAACCAACTGTAGTGTTCCAGAACCACATTGACAAGGATTGCGGTTATAAAAACCACAGTTATAGGATCCACGACAATTGAACCACAGCCACAGGATCCACAATGACAAGAACCACGGCTATAGGACAGATAAATATAGGGTCCACGGTTATGGAAATATACAGTGACATGGCTATAGGATATATAACTATAAGGTCCACGGTATGGAAATATACTGTGACACGGCTATAGGATATACAACTGTAAGATCCACGATTGTGTATGTAAATATAAATGATGCGGCTTTAGGACAAATAATTACAAGATCCATGGTTATGGTATATAAATATAAATGATACGGCTACAGGACAGATAATTATTAGGTCCACGATGATGGAACATATAAATGTAAGGGACACGCCTATGGGACAGATAATTAAATGAACCACGGCTATAGGATCCATAGTTATTAGAACAACGGCGACAGAATCCACGATGTTAAGAACCACGGCTATAGGATCGATTATGATAAGGACCACGGCTATAGATCCGAAGTGATCAGAACAGCGGTTGTAAGAACCATGTGGGACAAGGACCACTGTGCGTCCGCAACGCATGGACAGTGTTGCGAGTTTGTTTGAAATGTTTCAGTCGTCATTGTTGATAATGTTTGCCCGTTTTCAAGCTATAATGTGGCACTGCAGCAGTGGAACAGAAGTTTGTGGCATGATACCACAAGACTTATGTTCCATCTGGCCCTGCAATTACGATCACACCTTTCCGGTAAAGAGAATGTAGACAGCCTCTGAGGTTTTTGTCAAATTTATGATTCTCGAATACTCCCGTCGTATTCCAAGTAACCCAAGGTATGGCTGCTGGCAGTGGTTTGTCTGTTGGATGGATGAAACCTGTTTAGGTCCTGATCGTTCGAACTGTGCTTAATCCTTGGCGGCAAGTGAGACAATGAAAAAGACAGAGCCGGATCATACACTGTTGCTGCAAGAGATTACAACGAACGCAACTTTACTGAAGGGCAGATAATGTTGACTAATTTAGTAGTTTATGGCATAGCAATACTGTCGGCACCAGCACTAGTGAATGTAGCCTTCGGTAGAATGCTGAGGATAGATTGAGTTTTCAATAAGAAGACTTATCTGTTTCATACCCTCCAAACCTTTTATATTACGTGCAATAAATCTCAGTATTCTCACCAACACATAAACCATGCTTGGTGCTTTGAATTCGTTGACTGAATTCTCACTTAGTACAGTGAGTGCAACAGAACCCCGCTGCACAAAAGTAGGTATGTGATACTATGTCGCGGGATGACAGATCAATCGCCGATGCATAACTTACTTTGTGAATATAATACATCTCACAAGTGGCTTGTCCCACTCAAATTCAGCAGATCTAAAATGAATGATAATGTACAGAACTAACTTCTACAAACTCTCTGATGACCTGGATGCTCGAGTGCACCTGCCGTATCTAATGTACAAGATCAACGAACTCCACCGATTTTGCGTGTGTCGGGCGTAAAGATTATACCTGGGAAGGATTTGGAACGTTAGCATTCGTCTATCGTCCTCGATATGTACAGGTCCCTCGTACAATAATGAAAAACAGGTCCACATTCGAGCTGCATGCTAGAGAAATTCCTTGCTTTCAACACCCGAACTGGGATTTGAATGTTCTAAAACTCGCCATTCTCCCGCCGCATCCGCGCGCCCCACGAGTTCAAATTGCTTCGGGAGGTCACCCCATCGCCGTCACGACGAAGCCTTGAGAGCTGGGCCTCCCATTGAAACCGCCAAGCATCAGAGACACCCTCACTCCCTTGTGTCCGCCGAGATCGCCCCCACCCAGATGTCGAGCTGTTCCCCAATGCTTGCGCAAATGAGGGATGCATCAAAGCGAAATCGTACTCTGCCCGCTTCTCCGGGTCGGAAAGTACCTCGTACGCGTGACGAACCTCTAAGAATTTTCGCGTACACGCATCCCGATCATCGATGGGGCATACATCGGGATGGTACCTCAGCGCCATCTGCTTGTAAGCAGACTTAATATCAGACAAACTCCCACCATTATCCACGCCCAAAACGCTGTAGAGCGTACTCGAAGAGCCCCTCGCTAGGGCCTCTTCTGCAGCTGGTGCCGCAACACATTCGCAAGTGCCATGCCCCTCTCTTCGATTAGGTGTCCATATTGGACTCGAGCGCACGCTACTCCCGAAAGCTCCACTCCGGCTAGAAGAAAAGCTCACGAAATCCTGCCCACCCTGCGCAAAAGTACGAGGAGTCGATGAACCGAGGCTCGAGGACGAAGACAGCACTTGCAAAGGTGAACTGCACAATGCATCCATGGGCAACCTTGATATCTTCAACTTCAATTCCCACAACAAAAATCGGGCAATTCCGTGTAGGTGGGCAACCGCGATATCTTAAAATTCAATTCCTACACCAAAAATCGAGCAACTCCGTACAGCTCTCCGCTCACTCTCTCAATGCTACACTTCAGAATGTAAAATGCAGATCCACTAGCTGTGGAAGGCTTCAGATTAGTACCTGCGAGCCAGGGGAAAAGGGTCAAATTGACGTCCAGTCAACTTAGGCTTCCCACTAAGCAAGCAACTGTTGATGAGGAACGAGTAAATTGAGACAATCCACGATCCGACGCAGTAGATTTCTAAAATTACAAGTAGAGTCTCTATCATTCCCGTGCTGGAGCTGGATAGGAACCGCGTGACCTGTCCCCACCGGGAATCGAGGCATGATTCGCTCCGAGTTCGGAAGGTACCCGACAACTCACCCACTCCATCACCCCCTTCCCAGCAATTGTGTACAACGGCTCACCGATCACAACGAACTTAGGGTTTCGAGCTCGACTTTCTGTTGCGAACACTCCAGGAAGGAATTTGAACCCAGAAAAATTACAGCTCTAGATGAAGAAATCTAGACTAACAAAGTGATATTCGACACTGGTATTGATATTCGGACCAGCCGTCCATGTAAACGGCGTGGAAATGGTGGAATTCCACTACTGAACTGAAAGGTGGATGGCGTATTCTGCACATGCTTGAAATGGTGAGTTTTTTTTAGTTTGATACGAATTGCCATGTGGAAATTATGCTCTCTGGATTTAGGCCCTGTGTTAAGGACCACTTGGAGATATTGCAGCAGGGGTAAGTTCTCAAATTCCCTTCATTTCTAGAAACATTGACTGTTGGAGTCTGTAGATCTTTGACAGTGGCTTGTGGTCCATACATACATATATAGTTAGGAAAAAAATAATAATAATACAATTTAATAATTTTTCAGTAGACGGTGTTTCAAAGCCACGCTAATTATGATTTATATTGTTAATTATATGGTTGTATTGTATCCAACATGTGCATGGGAGTGATGAATGAAGAAAAGAAACTGACAGCATTCAACATTCGTTGCATTTGATGAGATGCCTTTTGGAGGTGGACAACCGACATGTGGCACAACCCAGATGTGAGATGACCCGATAAGGATGGTGAGTCAGCAAAATTTGTTTTCAAGGGGAATGGGGAATTTGGAAATGACCTAATACTGACATTGGACGGTGAGGTGGAAATCTGACCCACTTTGGAATCCTCATTCCTATTTTTAATTCAAGCAATGATCTGATCGTCAAAGTTTAAAACTTTTATTAAAAGCTGCTTCATATACTCAAAAGCTACTTTTCTTTTTAATTCTCAGTAGTGTAAATTTGATGAAGATGGGAAATTCTTGCTTTTTAATTTGACTGTGTATCTAAAAAAAGAGGATAGGTGGGAGTTGGTTAAATATATCCCCTCAAGTTTTGTGGTGCCTTGGACACCTAAAACAAATCTAGGGGAAGGTGTCATGCCGATGGACATCCTTAGTCAAAATATATATGTATATATATATATATATCTAATTTGAGGATATTACCAAATCTGAAACCATTTGGTTCGCTTTATTGCCATGCTAACTTGTACGTGAAAAATTTAGCTAAATTTTGTTGCCAAGATAAATTGTAGTTTTTATTTAAGAAATTATTTTAGATGTGTGTTTGTTAGTCTTGTGAAAGAATAGCATGCTTGTTTAGCATCAAATAAGAATAAATGTTAGAATTGTTGTTTGTGTCAGGATTTAAATTTGGAGTCTTTGAAATCATAGTAAATTCATCATCTACTTGAACCATAATTTGATGCCCATATTATCCAATATTTATTAAAATAAACTTTTAATAATAAAAATCTTGTATAAATATGTTTCATGGATATTATCCACAAGGGAATATAATTTTATGGAACAATTGGTACAAGTTTTCGATGCCTTGCATTGCATTAAAGCAATGTAAACTGCTGTGTGCAAATTAGTGGTTTACTTTGTAGCTTGGATTCCATTTTTTGTCCTTTATTATCATCATTTGTTTACCACAATTTTTTTATGTGTTTTCATTTTTTTTTTTATTACTTAAAGTGTGTCATAATAAATAATCTTTACACCTTTTCATGTGTTCCATGTTCCTTTATTACATTTATAAATATATATATTTACCACTTTTTTTTAAAAAAAAAAAAAACAAATAATTTGTAAAATCTGTGGATCTTAAATGTCATGTACTTGGAGTTTGTATTAAAGTTAAAAACCAATGCAAGCCAAGTTTTAGACAAATTTTGAAACTTTCAAAACTATGTTTTCTTCAAAAACTTGCATGTGGTTTGCAAATGTACAATCCAGTATCAATAAGAAAATATCTTTGGTAATTAGATATACTTAAAAAGCGGATTTTTTATAAAAACCTTGCATGCGATTTACAAATGTAAGGTACAATATCAATAAGAGAATATCTTTGATGATTAGATATACTTGAAAACTGAATTTTCTTTAAAAACTTGCATGTGGTTTGCAAATGTAAGGTAGAATAAGAGAATATCTTTGGTGATTGGATATGCATTTTTAGAAAGAAAAAAAAAATGTATAATTAAGAAAAAAGAAAAAAAGAAAAAAGAGATTAGTAAATTAATCACTTTAATAAACTATTCCTTTATAAAGCTAAGACCAACCACTTATTCATGTTTAAATAAAATATTCTTTTACAAAGCTGATACCTACCACTCATCTATTTTCAAAGAAGGTTTTTTAATTACAACAAACACTTACAAAACTTTAGGGTTGCATTTAAGAATCAAACAATGTACTTAATAAACATGAAATATATATTTACTTTATTTAATGAACATCAAAAGCTAAGATTCACCACAAATTATGTGCAGTTTGAATTTTATGATTGAATAAAATATATGAAATATATTTTAAAATATGATAAAAAAAAAAATCTAAATATTTATTTATACTTAAATATGATATATGAATAAGTCAAAAAATTTAATATAATATGTATATATATATATATATATATATAATTATAAAAAGAATCTCTAAAAAAGTCAAAAAATATATTCAAAGTTTCTTATATGGTATTTATTGATGTTAATGCTTAAGAAATTTATCTATTATTTTAAATATAAATATAGATGAAACTTAAAGATCCTGCCATACATTATATCTCTATTCAAGTAGTAATTATATTAGAATTATTTGTCTTTACATTGATGTGTTGAAAGTCATTTATTATTTTTATTTAGAATTCTTTACAATGTGACTCGGTTTCAACTCAAAATTCAGAATATGACCTTGTTTCAATCCGAAATTCACAATATGACTATGTTTCATTGTCTCCATACTCTACGCCTTTATGTTAATAACAAAAACTCTTGTCCGTACACTTCACACTTTCATATTGCACTGTCAAAAGCAGGAGCTTCGAAGTGGCAAGAGATTATTATCTTAAGGCTTAACAATCCAAAACTTTAATATTGTTTCTATCTCCATTTACTCATACAATTTCAAGTTTCTTCTTCATATTTTATAAAGAACATGAATTTTTTGCAAGATTGCAATATTTTTGGTTATATATGCACTAACAAAACTTTGCATGTAAGAACTTATCAATTTTTTTTATCACCAATATCATTATACCCTCCATTTGATCGCAGGATGTTCTAAATTATTCACTTGTAGATTTTTTGGTCGTAGCAATGTTCGCTTCTTTCAACAATGTCAAATAAACTGCTTAAGACTACATTGCTTCAAACAACTATAGTGTCAAGGACAAGAACTTGATGAAAGCAATTAAACAAATAAGGCTTTGTCAAAGAAATATGACAAAATAGAAATAGAAAAATATATATATTAAAAAATGAAACTAAAATGGCTATTGCCAAAAGACAAGGAAACTAGAGACTCTTGAAACTAGATTAGAAGTAAGATTGGAGTTGATAAGAGTGAAGAAGGCTTTATTCTTGCTTCTATATATACTATCTACTTAAAATCTATGTGGCGACATTCCATTGGACCTCCAAAAACATCTTGACTTTGCATAACGTGTATCTTAACTTGCAAGGCAAGTTTTCTATATAGATACTTTATAATCAGCTTGTTTTGCAAGCTACTAATGTATGTGGCATGTACTTAGTTTATTGACCAAGTTTTTGACCTATCAATCAATTACAAATACATCTATGAAGCTTTTAAGAAGTTTTTCTATAAGTTATTATGAAATTAATCTACTTTTATCTACTTCTATATATTCATATTACTTAGATAATAATATATATATATATATATATATATATATATATGTAACATATAGTTTTGATATAATTTTATACTAAAATAAAAATTCTAAATTATTACAGATTTGGAGTTTTAAAGTGTCAATACTATATTTATGTAAGCTTGAGAAAGCAGATAAAGGAGATAAAAGTGACTTGGTTAAACTTAGATCATCCTTGTTAAGAAACTTTGGCAAAACTAATGGATTTACAAATCAACTATACATTGATAGTTAAAAAACTTCAAGAATGATCATTAACAATCAATCAAATATTAGTGCAAAAAGCCATTAAATTATATTTTAAGAAAATCTACAATATCAGACTTACCTATAGCACTTCAAACAAGGAGAAAGAAACCTTGATAAAAAAATCTATAGATGCTCCAAGTGAATTATTTTGAATTGCTTAAAGCTTTATTAAAATATTGATAGAGGTTGATTTTGAGATTATTTCTTTTTTAAAGTGAAAAGAGACTTTAAAGGATGGAGATAGAATTCATTGCTGAAAGACTATTTTTTTGTCTATGACATGCATATAATGCTTTCATACATTTGAAATTTTTTCTTGTAGTTTTTGCTACTTTCATTAAGAATTCCTTCAACTAATATCTATTTTTGGTTGTAGAGATAGATTTGGATGATAAGTTAGTGATCTTAGCTTAGAGATTGGTATGAAATGAATGCATAGAGATGTAAAATTTTTTTTGTGAATAATTGAAAGAAGTAATTCTTGAGGTGAATTTATTGAAAATAATTATAGTTAATGATAATAAAAAGGCTTTAATTAAAGCTTGTACCAAAGTATTGCCTCTGGCTTCAAATTATTAGTATTGCTTTCACATTGTAAAAAATGTTAGCAAAAAAATTGGCATTGAGTTCAAGAAAGCTTTTTAGACATGTGCTTATGCCAAATGTGCTAGTTCTTTTT